CACTCGGAACCCTAGTGGCGTTTATACGGAATTCGAACGTGTCTGTTACCGATCGACCCACCCTGGAAGAACGGGAGATTTGTTTGGTTTGGGCGGAAGTCGACTCATTCGATTCCACATGGTTAGCGCAGTAAGCAGTGCCAGTTGCCGTTATAGGGAGGGATAGGAGAGGAAAGGAATGAAAAAATACTCCGCTCATGGGGGTACCCCTGAATTTTGTTTCGCACGGAGTGACGGGGTAAGCGGGTATCCTGGGCATGTGCATCGGACCCTAGTCTCATTCTGTGTTCTCAGAACCTGTCAAACCTACGCGCCTGGGATCTCAGGGCACTTTACGCTCAGTTTGACTTGGGAGGTCGAGCCATGAAAAGTAATCACAGACCAGGCGGTCGTCCCGAAAGCAGGGCCGCTGGTCCCTTCCTCCATCTTAGCGAGACTCTCTAGAAGCCTGAACGCAAGTGACTCAACCGATCAAAAGCATATGGCACGATAATCACTCGATCTAAAATGCCAGCAGGGCGCTATATAGTGGGGAAAAATGGCGGAAAAACGAAGTGAAGCTTTTCAAAAACCTGCGGGGAAAGCCTTGTTCTAATTTACTCAGATAAGCAATTTTCGGACGAAGTTTTCCGTAGTCATCTAATAGCCAACAAGCGTCGCGAAATTTAAGGCTGCAGCCTATCTAACTCATATATCCTGCAGCAACAGCGCCGCTTCATCGCGAATACCTGTTGCTTCATATTTTCCTTGCAAATGAACCAATAGCGAGCATTAGGCACGCGTCTCCGTTTGTTGGGCGGGGAAGGCGTGATGGCGCGGCGTCCGGGTTGATGTGTTGCTAGTTGATGGGTCTTATAAGGGTACTTCCTTCCACTGGCTTAGAAGTCGGCGCATTCAGGTCTTACTCTTCCAATACTGTCGTCTTGGGCATTATAGTGCCAACTGCCTTTAAACTGATCAGCCGCGGCAGGACCCTGATGTGATTACTGTAGGCCTTCTTGAGCTTGGAGATGCTGAGCTATGGGTTCATCTTGTTCTTCCTGAACGTGAACGTTGAGGTGTATGCCTACTTCTGCTTACAGGGGAACAAGAATGTTGCTTATAGGAAGCATTACTGCCACGGGTTTCGCAATTACTGCTATGCTCCTTGTGCGAAGTAAACTATATGTGATGCACTCCAGGCAGTGAGTGTTCATCTTTCTTTTGGCTGCAAATGCCCTCCTCATCCTACACATATCACCGCTTTACGAACTCTTTTATGCCCAAATCATAACGGTCCCACCCATTTTTCTGACTTTCTGCTTCATGACACGACTTCTTTCACTTGCTACTGTTAGAACTAGTCACTACGTTAGTGGCCAGACGTGGATGTGCTGAAAATGGGATAGAATGCGAATGATTCTGATATTTTCCGGTATAAAAGATGGGTCATTCCTATGTGCTTCCATTTTATTCGTCTAGTTCTACAAACTCACCCCGTTTATCGACATGGCGGTTAGTCGCGCCCTAACCAATGAGCAGTTGGATGATATCATAAATCGGCTGAACAGTAAGTTTTTGTTGTATACTGGGCAAGTTCAGAAAGCTGAAAATGAGCAGAACAGCAAAGCTCTCTCAGCGGTGGAAATAACTTCTGAAAGGCTGAGCGCGGGAGCGGAGTCTCTTCCGAGTTGTTCTGCGATAGGTAAGAACCAGAACTGAAAACGAGAGAGAGGGAGAACTGTACTGATCGTGAGAAGAGGTTTTCCTGTCCTTCCTCGACCGTATAGTTCCAGCGTGTAGCGACGTCCTACGATACAGCTTCAAAGCTTCATAGTGACCCCTCAATTACTATCGAAAAGTACATATGTAGGACATAGAAGTAAAGGAGTGACGTTTATAAAGGTAAGGTAGGTAGTGGAGGCGTGGGTAGACTAGCTCGCTCCGTATGAATTCCTTTGGACATGTTCAAGAATGGCTTATTGATTGGTCAATCTATGGCGCGCGAAAGGAACTCCATGGCTAGCTACTGCGCGAATGGTCCTCACCCGGTTGTAAATGGCGTATTATCAGCTTCTGATAAGGCGCCATTCACAACATTTATCATAGCCCATCCGATCATTGCCGTCGAATCAGCCGTGATGGGCAGTGTTCAGAATGATGACGCGCAATAGTGCGCTGTAACGAGCGTCGACGCGCTGTCAGTCAACAGCGTTCCAATGCTCAAGACGAGAACGCAGCCACAGACGATAACAATCGGCACTGGCAGCTACTGCTTTGAGAGAGTATGAGAGAACGGGAGGGTACGCGTTGGCTGATCACAAAGTCTGGTGTCCTCCTATTCTTCTATGCCAAAACACTGGCGACCGAACCCGATCGACACACCGTCTACGCCTGTGCTCCCGCCTACGGTAGCGCGCTGACGCGCGTCATCGCGAAGTCTGAACGCTGTCCCAGGTTGCAATAACTCACATTTGCAGTGGTTCCCTAATGTAGTGGTTCTACTTCTACCATTTCCTATCTATCCATGGTTACGGGTGGTTAGCATTCCAGTGGTCCAGTCCGTTTCCGGCGCCCGAGCACCTTCGGGTCAGAACACTGAAGGCAACCTTCATAACTCCTCTCAGACTGCCGCTTGTAAAATTCGAAAGCAGATTGCAGCATCTCAAAACGCGCAAAATGCTGCTCAATGCATTGCAAAAAAGTCTGGTCGACCTGCTGGCGTTTCCCCTTCAGATGAGTTATGACCGCTTCATATCAACTACAGTATGTATGAAGCGTGAGAGTATCAGCATTGACGTGGATGATAATGAAACTTTCGCTCGTTACCCCTGAGGAAGTGGAGACGGGCAAGAGAACCGTAAATCGCCGCTTCGTCGCGCGCGGCAATGGGCGCGACGTTCCTTAATTTGCACTACCCTTTCGACTGGAGCATCGGATTTCATGTAGACAAGACATGGTAGACACTTATGTCATACATTGTCTATTCTCGACCAATACCACCTGAAATCGTCGTCATTAGCGGGGCGACGACGCCGACTGTCGCGGCGAATTACGATTCTCTTGCCATCCCCTGGGGAAAAGAAAGTGAGGGAGAGAGAAAAAAAGAAAGAAGAGAGCGGCAAGACAGTCATAATCTATCGCGTCGTTGTGTGCGGTGTATCGTGCAGCGAAATTCTCGTGTTCTAGTTTGACCTCGCAGCAGCAGAACGTTTATGAATTTTAGCGGTGAAAGATTCCAAGACAGGCGACGATTCCCTTCAACCCTCAAATTCAAACGGCTCGGTAGGACAGGAAAACTCGTCCGTGGGGCACGGCGTCGCTCGCCACGCCCGTCAGCACGGTATATTACGGCTGTCTTGCCACACATAGATCGGCGACACTCAGAGATATAGGGTCTAGCTCAGGGCACATCACTGGTTGGAGGATTTTAGTCGAGTCCGTACGACTCCCTCCTCCCCCCCTTTTTTTGGGGTTGGTACCACCCCACCCCTTCAGTACTTTTTCCAAGATTCCCCAAAACTTCCCTACTTTTTCGAGGAGGGATACACAGTACGCATGAGACAGGAAAATCACGAAAAGTCAACCACCACTCCCACCACTCCTAGAAGGCCAGAAAGTAAATACGACCCCCTCCCCCCAACAATGAGCAAGTACGACCCCCCCCCCTCTTTTACAACGTCCGTGAAGCGAGAAAAATAAATTCTTCTCAGCCCAAATACGACCCCCCCTCTCCTACGAGCCAATACGCACCCTGTTAGGGGCCCCCAACAGCGATGCTGACTTGATCTAGCCTAAAACCGTTCTAGAGAGCCTTTCAGAAAATAACGACCTCAAGCGCAGTAGCCCAAAACAGATACCAGCGTGCTTTTTGACAGACAGTATAGCTCATTGCATGGTCCAGTTGCTCTGAGGGTAGGCCACGCCGTCCTCCATCGCCCGCGAACCTAAAAGATGTCAGACACGCCCATCCGAACTCATAATATGAACAAATTACAGTCTTTACAACAGGTTGGATTATCATGCATCTTAGTGACACTGTGCCCTCAAGCTTATTCCAGCAGAAGTCGTAACTATTGTGAACCAAGTGAGTCAGATGTGTTACTATAGAATTCAAGAACTCACTACCTCAGCGACTGCAAGTTCTGCAAGGAAAACAGGACCGTACAATTTGAGGCTGCAAATCTCTCATGACGGAAAAAAGCTAATCTGGTGAATGTTGAACGTACCAATAAAAGTTCTCATTGGCGACATCACGCGCAATATCAGTAGGACCAACGGTTGCAGAGGGATACTCACTGAGAAAGGCGGCCGTGCGCGAGCTACATTGACAGTTTACGTGTTCCGACACGGTAACGGAATGTGTCTACAAGTTAATAACTCGTCCGGAATTTCATCAAGCATAAGGTTTGTAATTGATAGCCAAGCGTGAAGCCAAACTCGAGCTTACTGACATTCGATGTCCTTGCCATCTCAGCTTAAGGTCAATCTCCTCACGCTTAGAGAAATGCACTAGTTTAAAAGTTCGGACGAGTTTCCCGACCTGGAACGCTGTTCGCCTGGCATATTTTGACATTTCAGTGGCGAAGTACAGTCCTCATCATTACGTACTGTCGGGGGCGTTCAGTGCGGCTGGCGTTTGGCGCGGTGCCAAACCGCTCTCCACCAGTATTTAAAGCGAGCAAATGATATGACTGTATTATATCCTCCGTATTACTCGTTTTCTACCACTTTTTGTCGCATACGCGTTTCAAACAAAAGGCACTGCCCTGAGAACCGCGCTTCAATCGGTGTGCCACACTCATACCTGGATGACACGCCACCAGTCCGCAATGATGAAGACTGTAATCGTGCCTAACGACATATACCCCTCACTGAGTCTGAATGGCCATGGTGAGACGCATGCAGGCGATGCGGCTTTCGTTGATTGGTCGAAAACGCCGCATCGCTGCAGCGCGCCTTTTGCGGGTTATCTTCAGAAAACGACTTTGGAGTTCGTATAATTTCCGAATGTTTAGGATATGAATCGTTTATTCGACCTTATCGGTCGCGTCCCTCAAGAGAGACTGATATTCCTTGGAGATTACGTAGATCGTGGCCCTCAAGGGGTTGAGGTTAGTCATCCGACTTAAATGTTATAAAACACACTTGAATAGCCCTACCGTCACATTACGCCATACTAGAATTCAGGTTATCATTCTTCTATTCGCGCTGAAACTTCGTTATCGTGATCGGATCTTCTTGTTGCGAGGCAATCACGAAACGCCGGCTGTCAATAAGATCTATGGCTTCTACAACGAATGCGTCATGAAGTACGGTGCTGGAATTTGGTGGGATTTTCAGGCATGCTTCAACAGAATACCTCTTGCTGGACTCATCTCTAAAAAGGTGGGTTTCTTGCCGGATTCGCTATGTCTAGACTAGATGGTTCACATAGGGGAAACAAGCTGAAAGAGGGAGTGTGCAAACAGATCGTACGTCGGGGATCTCCACGGGTGGGGTGGGTGGGAAAGGACATGCTCTCGCTCCGAGGGTCCAGAGCTATTTTCTCATCGCATCTACTAGCCCAGT